ATTGCACCAGCAATTTTATTAAATTCAGATTCACCATCTGCTATGATGGGATTAAAACCCATGTTCTCAGACCATTAGCTGACGTTTCGGGCCTAGACCCTTCTTTGGAAAATTTAATTTTTCTGGCAAATGACACTGGGAAAATGACACTGACAATGACAAATGACACTAAATTTTCTGAAGAAGGGTCTAGGCCCGAAACGTCAGCCTTCCTGCTCCTCTGATGCTGCTTGGCCTGCTATGTTCATGCAGCTCTACACCTTGTTATCTCAGATTCTCCAGCATCTACAGTTCCTACTATCTCTGGCCAAAGCTTGACTTTCTTTTGGGATTCTTCTGTGGGCTGACCTACAGTCTCTCTGTTCAGGATATGTCCTGAGTTAAGCTGTGCAAATGCCTTCACTGAAGTGGTGTCCCCCAAGCTCAGATGGCCTGGCAAGGGTGTACACTTCCATCGCATACCCTGCAATTCATGCTCTACTTGCGGAATTTTCTAATGACAAAGCCAGTTGTACTGCCTGTTTGATGTCCAGTTGGGCTTCAGCTACTAGGCACTTTTGCATGGATACATCATTAATCCCACATACCAAATGGTGTCTCAGCATCTCCATTAAGGGTTAAACCAAAGTCACATGAGTCTGCCCGACGTCTTCATCTCGTCAAAAATCCTGACACGGATTCCCCTGGTTCTCGACCTGCCAAGTAAAAGTGTCTCAGAATTGGAGAAGGCTCGCGGTTGTAATATTCCTTAACTAAATCTGTCAGCTCTTGAAAGAATTTAGTGTCTGGTGTTCAGGGAAAGTCAGACTTCTAATAGCTGAAAAAGCTGTGAGTCCACAAGCAGTCAGAGTTATTCTTTTTGCTTATCGTCTGCCCCAGTGTCATTTGCCAGAAAAAATAAAGAATTCTTTCCAGATACTGGACCCGGTGTTCGTGATCGAATGAGTCAAACTTCCCAAATAACGGCATGAATCCAGAAATGCTTACCCCAACTCAAATACAACTGTTCTGAGTGAATTCCTTCAGGACCATATTTTTTCCTCTCCTCACCACTGAAATAACTCCATAGAGGCTGGCATCCCCTCACTAAGTCACCCTTTACACATGAGTGATACTGGGCACTGGTCCTGCTTCCTCAAAGCCAGCTGTCAGTGCACAGAATCTCTTACACTCCTGTTTATATCTAAGCCAGGGCTCCCTGATTGGACCAGATTAACAGCCCCAATCGAGGAACTCCTCTTCTAAGGTCCACCAGGCTGACCTTGTTACAATCACTACAGACAACATTTTTACTCCATCTATATAACTAACGCCATTCATAGCCTTAAGTTCTATTAGCTGCCTTTACCTTTTTCTGGAGAAGAGCCTGGTCTAGTCAGCCTTTCCAGTTAAGTTTGTTTTTTAGAAAAAATGCTCAATATTAGTAAAATGAAGTGTTAATTGAGTGGCGATGTAGGTATAGTTTTCACTGAGCATTGTTCCTATTGTTGGGAGTATGCTCAATTGCCATGACCTTGAACAACCAGTTTTGAGTAACAATTTGTGTACTTTAATGATAAGTACTGAAGTCCCTGACAAGAATGTTACGAAACAGAAGCTTGCATTGTGTTGAATAAGATATTGGGTCAGATGACAAAATGCTTGGTCAAAAAGATGGGTTTTGAGGAGGATCTTAAAGGTGGAAGAACTCTTTGGAGAAAAGTAGGGAGGATAAACCAGAGTGTAGAAAGTCTAAGTAAGGTTGCAAAAGGTGAAGTGGTTAAAATTGAGAATGAATTGTGGAGGGTTCTGGGCTTGGAAGAAAAGGCATAGATGGGGTGGAGTGACCATGCAGGGATCTGGTGACGGGTTTCACTTTGCAGTATTCCTTGACTTTGAGCTGTTGTAGGCTGACCAACAGTTAGGTGATAGGAAGTTAAGGCAGGACAGAAAAATTTTAGATACCTTCAAGGATATGGGTGTGGGAGAAATATGGGAATTATGGAAGGTTTGAATCTGGAAATATTAAACAGTGAATGGCCAAGTTTGATGTGAAGGCAGAAATAGAAGTGAGCTTGATTTGTGAGAATGAGGTCAGAAGTTCATCTATGGGTCAAATGTAACGCCCAGTTTACAAAGTGACTGGCTCTGACTATTATTTTGGGTGAAGGATGGAGTCAGTATCCAGGACCTAGAATTTGGAGTGGGATTGGAAACAGCCCCCATATATTGGGAACAGTGGGTTAAATACACAAAGCAATGTTCCCATTTGGCAAGTGCTTGTATCTGGTGTAAAGAGATTGTTTTCTTTGAGCAGAGCCAGGATCTATGGACTTGCAAATGTGAAATATGTCTGCTTGCTTTGAGCTAGTTATAAACAGCTTGAGTGGGCAACCAGTGTCAGATGGAATATATTTTGGGGAAAATTGAGAGAAGGTTGATTCCTAGGCTGAAAGTGTTGAATATGGAATTTACCCTGAATTTAAGCCAAGTGGAGATTTTTTTCTTAAAAGGTATAGCAGCGGAGTTTAGTTCTGTTGTTACATTCTGGAGATAATGCAGAAAATCTTGGACGTACCTGCAAAAGTAAGAGTTTTTGTAGTAGGAAACTCGTTATTCCAGACTATTAAAAACTTCAAGTGAGACAGGGAGGGGTGTAAAAGAGGTGCTGTTGTAATATTGATTTGTCACTTATTGCAATAAGGAAATATGACATCATAGGCTCCTCAATTGAGAACTTAAAAAGGGAATTAGGACATTCAGATTATAGGGAGTGTACATAGAATGTCAAAACAGTCAGGAAGAGAATGACAGATAGGTACAAGGAATCCCCAATTTACAAAACACACAGAGCATGCTCTTTGGTCCATCGTGTCTGTGCCAACCGTGATACCATTCTAAACTAGTTCAATCTTCCTGCACATGGTACATATCCCTCATCCCTTCCTGTTCATGTGCCTGTCTAAAATGTCTCTCAAACAGTGCCATTGTATCTGTTGTATCACCTCCCCCGGCAGTGCTTTTTAGGCATCTACCACCCTATGTTTTTTTAAAAAAAAAACCTTGCCTCTAACATCCCCTTTAAATTTCTCCCTCTTACCTTAAACCTATGGCCCCTAGTATTTGACATTCCCACCTGTGAAAACTACTCCAACTATTCACCCTATCTGTGCCGCTCATAATTTTATATATTTCTATCAGATCCCTCCATAACTTTCGCTGTAGCCAAAACATTCCAAATTTGTCCAATTGCTCCTTGCAACTAATACACTCCAATCTAGGCAACATCCTGGTAAGCTGCTTCTCTAAAGACGGACACACTTTCGGTGTAACCAGGTTACAGACTGTTAAACATCACTGTAACGAATGCCCATCAGTGTTAAAATCAATCTTGACAAACATGAGTTGAGATCAGAATTCCCCTTTGGGCTCTGGTGCGGACACCTAGGTCTAGAAGGATGGCATGGTAACCAGAACTCCACACAATACTCCAAATGTGGCCTAACTAATGTTTTGTGCAACTGCAACATGACATGCCAACTTTTATACTTGATGTCCTGACCGATGAAGGTAAGCTTACCACCTTATCCATTAATGTTTTCACTTTCAGGGAGCTATGAACTATAGTTTCCTGGATTATCCCTTGTTAGCCTTAAGAGAAACATTGGCTGTTCTGCAGTCTTCTGGGACCTCGCCTGTGGTTCAAGATGATCCAAAGATCTCTGTCAAAGCCTCCGCATTCTCCTCCCTTGCTGCCTTCAGTATCCTGGAATAGATTCCATCAGGCCCTGGGGACTTATTTACATCCCCTTCTTAATATCGACATGCCCTAGAATATCTTGCCATCATCCATGTAATTATTTTTGTTGAATACTGATGTGAAGCATTCCTATCATAAATTTCCCCCCTTTTGTCCTTGAGTGGACCTACCCTTTGCCTAGTTACAAAAGGGTTACTTTAAAAAATATAGGAAAACGAAGGCATCATAAACCACTGGCAGGTAAAGGAAAATTTATAGGTATGTTTGAAATCTATTGTGGGCAAGAAAATGTATTGTGGGAAGAGTAGGGCCCATTTGGGACCTAAGTGGCAAATTATGGGTAGAGCTAGAAGACAGGTAAGGTTTTAAATGAATACTTTACATCTCTCTTTATGATAAGTTTTCTCTATGTTGGTATAGAAATCGGGGAGGGTGACTGTGAAATATTTGAACAAGTTAGCATTGAGGAAAAGAAAGCATTGAGGAAAAGAAAGCATTAGCGGTTTTAATGGGCCTAAAGTTAGATAATTCCCTAGGCACAGATGAGATGCCTCCCAGACTAGTGTGAGAGGCAAGAGAGGAGATTACAGGGGCCCTGATATTAATTTTTCAAATCCACTCTGCCTCCAGAAGAGGTGCCAGAGGATTGGAGGAGAGCTAATAAAGTACTATTATTCAAAGGGGTGGTAGGGATAAACCAGGAAACTAAGCAAATGAAATCCAAGGTAGTTTGGCAAATTGGGGCCAAAATTATCTTAGTAACAGGAAGCAGAGCGTGATGATAAAACTGTGACTTTGACTCTAAAAGCAGGAAGGTTAAGCTTCAGTTATAAAGGGCTTTGGTATGACACATTGAAATACTGTGTACAGTATTGGCTTACTAAGGGAAGAATGAAATGTATTGGAAACAGTTTAGGGATAGCTTAGTAGACGTTATCTATGAGGTTAGGCAAGACAGACTTGTATCTGCTGGAGTTTATATAAAAAAAAAAGAAGCTACTTGATTGAAATGTAAGATTGTGAGGGATCTTGACTTTTCTGTAAGCACCTTGTAATTTCCTCCTGTAGGTGAAATGTAGTTAGGATTTCTGGAATGTTCAACTGATGGCATCTGCTACCCTGTGTAGTACCCTCCACGAGTAACCTTTAAATCTGCCAATTGAAATTCAACTTTCACATTAGCTAGTGTTTTTACTTAGAATTTCGGTCAATCGTGATTGTTAACATGTCTTACTTATTTGAAATGTTTTTGGTGTTGCAGGCAGAAGAAGAATTTTTAAAAGCTCAGAAAGTGTTTGAGGAAATTAATGTTGACTTGCAGGAAGAATTGCCATCACTATGGAACAGGTAAGTGGTCAGTTTTTTCCTATGAATGCTTTTCCTGTTTTACTGGGAAATACCACGTGTTGATTTCACTTGTGAATGGCAAAAGCACTGGTATAAAAGTTCCACAGATTTTGTCTTTGCATTAAAAGTACATTTTGACATGATGGGTCTATTATTTTCAAAGCTAAGTGACCGACAGTTCAGGTAACATCTAGCTTGAATGTGTAAGAACAGAATTTTGGAAACTCTTGGTTAGTGTCTATAGTAAGAGAGCAAGTTAGCTTTTCCGGTCAATGACTGGCTTATCTTCAGAAATGAAAATTTGGAACAGTTACAACTATTTCAACGTACAAGTGGGAGTGTTCAAGAAAGAACAAGAGGCCGATGAGTAAGTTTGATGGAGTAGAAGATGGGAGAGATTGAGTTGGTGGCAGAAAGGCAATGTTGAAGTTCAATACCACAGAGCAATTAAAGATATTCAAGGAGGTGTGAATAGCGTTAGAATGAACCTCCGAAAGTAAGAATGATGTGGTAAAGGCCATGCTTTCCTACCTGCTTTCAAGATTCTGAAGGACCCATTCTTTCTGCAATAACTTGGTCAATGCTGCCAAAACCTCAGCACCTTCATCCTTTCCTTTCCCAAGTGTAGGAGCTGCAGCACCGACCTTTCTGCCTTTAACCCTCCTTGACTGACTATGGCTTGCAGCACTCCTTCCAGGTGGCATAGTGATATTCATGGATTCCTTTCAGTTTGTGAAATTGCTGCTTATGACATGGATTGCCTTGCAATAGGCAACAAATGAAAATCACTTTATACAGCACTTTTGGTAGGTTCCCAAATGTGACCCTAAACTTGCTGTTATTTTAATTCTCCCACTTGGTTTCAATCTGACCTTTGTCCTTGATTTGGTTTATTATCGTATGTACCCAAATACAGTGCAAAGCTTTTTGTTTTGCGAGCAGTACAGGTAGGTCATAGCAAACAAGGACATACAGATCATAGGATGCTTAGACAGAGCGAGGCATACTAGGTTATGGCTGCACAGGAGGTGCACAAAAGCAAGGTCAACACTAGGTTTGAAATTAGAGAGGTCCATTCAGCCTGCTAACAGGGTAGAAGCAGTTCTTGAAACTGTTGGCATGTGTGTTCAAGCTTCAATATCTCCTGCCTGGTGAAAGAGAGTTTTACTGGGGTGGGAGGGGTCCTTGATGTTGGCAACCTTTCCGTGACAACAAGAAGTGTAAATGGAGTTCATAGATGGGAGGGTGGTTTCTGTGATGTTCTGGGCATGTGTGCACAACTTTCTGATATAACCAGGTGTAAAGCTGGATGAACACAGTGGGCCGAGGAGCAGGAAAGCTGACGTTTCAGGTCTGGACCCTCCTTCAGAAAGGGGGGGCGTAGGGGGGTAGGGAAAGGGGATTCAGAAATAGAGAGGGGGAGGCAGATGGAAGATGGATAAAGGAGCAGATAGGTGGAGAGGAGACGGACAGGTCAAGGAGGCAAGGATGGAGTCAGAAAAGGTGAGTGTAGGTGGGGAGTTAGGATGGGGGTTGGTCAGTCCAGGGAAGACAGACAGGTCAAGGGGGCGGGATGAGGCTGGTCGGTAGGAGGTGGGGGTTGGGGTGGGGGTTGAGGTGGGAGGAGTGGATAGTTGGGAGAAAAGACGGACAGTCAGGGAGGCGGGGACGAGCTGGGCTGGTTTTGGGATGTGGTCGGGGGCGGGGAGATTTTGAAGCTTATGAAGTCCACATTGATACCATTGGTCTACAGGGTTCCCAAGCGGAATATGAGTTGCTGTTCCTGCACCCTTTGGGTGGCATCGTTGTGACGCTGGAGGAGGCCCAAGATGGACGTGTCGTCCAAGGAATGGGAGTGGGAGGGGGAGTTGAAGTGGTTCGCGACTGGGAGGTGCAGTCATTTGTGGCAAACCGAGCATAGGTGTTCCCAAAGTGGTCTCCAAGCCTCTGCTTAGTTTCCCCTATGTAGAGGAGGCCACATTGGGAACAGCGGATACAGTATACCACATTAGCAGATGTGCAGGTGAACATCTGTTTGATGTGGAAGGTTTCCTTGGGGCCTGGGATGGGGGTGTTGGGGGGGTGGTGGGGGGGCGAGGTGTGGGGGCAGGTGTAGCACTTCCTGTGGTTGCAGGGAAAAGTGCCGGGGTTGGTGGGGAGTGTGGAGCGGACAAGGGAGTCACGGAGAGAGTGGTCCCTCCGGAACGCAGATAAGGGTGGGGAGGGAAAAATGTCCACTTCTGGCAGCTCATTCCAATCTCGCACCACCCTCTGTGTGGAAAAAGTTGCCCCTTGTGTCCCTTTTTAAATCCTTCCATTCTGACCTTAAACCTATGCACTCTAGTTTTGGTCTCCCCCGCCCCGGAGGAAAAAAACCTTGTCTGTTCACTCTATCCATGACCCTCATGACCTTATAAACCTCAACAAGGTCACCCTTCAGCCTCTGCTCCAGGGAAAATAATCCTGACCTATTCAACCTCTCCCTGTAGCTCAAACCCTCCAACCCTGGCAACATCCTTGTAAATCTTTTCTGAACCTTTGCAAGTTTCACAACATCCTACCTATAGCAGGGAGACCAGAATTGAACGCAGTAGTCCAAAAGTGGTCTAACCAATGTCTTGTTCAGCCGCATCATGACCTCCTAATTCCTAAACTCAATGCACTGACCAATAAAGGCAAGCATACCAAATGCCGCCTTCACTATCCTGTCTACCTGTGACTCCACTTTTAAAGAACTATGAACCTGCACTCCAAGGTCTCATTGTTCAGCAACACTCCCCAGGGCCTTACCATTAAGTTCCTTGCCATTAGCAGCCATTCATTCTCCTAGGCTCACTGTTATCCAATTCTTTTTCTGCCCAACTGTTCTCTCTCTTTGGGCTCTGTCTCCAGCTATCTTTTACTCCTTGCCGCCTCCCTGCACCCTATTCTCTGTATAAACAGCCAACCTGTTCGTAGCTACCATCAGTTCCGTATCATCTGCTTACTCGCACCCTTACCATTGGGATTGGAGAAACTGACCAAATGCTTCAGTCTCGTGTTCTATCACTGTTACCACCACCTCTTCCTCCCCTCGCCCCCCCAACAAGCTTCTCTCCTGAAAGACCTGGCACCTCTTAGTATTAGTCCCTAATCCAAGGTTTCCTGATGGGTGGAAATAGAATAGTTGGCTGAAACTTAATTGTTGCCATAATGCTTGTATCGGATCATGCTCGACCATTTGAATTCCAGGAAATGCAAGTTTGTGGGATCACTTCTTCCCTTGTAATTTAACTCTTGGTCAGCTATTTTTTAAATTTACACTGCACTTCCTTGAAGGCTAGTATGTCCATTCTAATGTGTGAAACCAGAACTGCTGACAAGTCCCCAGACGTGGTCCAACCGCAGCTTTGAATAACTAAACCATTAATTCAAACCACAGTATTAACTTCTTTAGATTAAAAAGGCCATAACTCCAATTGCCTTGTTATATTTGTATCTGTTACAATTCTTGACCAGATCTCTCAATCTGTTTACGATCTGTCTAGGGCTAGTGACCTTTTCTTAAAAAAAATAGTAGACAAAAATGAGATCCAGAGATCATCTAACTGAATAAGCCTCAAGATTTTAAACAAACAATGGCTATTACTGTGTAATGTTACAACAGTAATACAGTCTGAGTGAATTTACAACTTGTATTCTAACACCCAGAATTAACTGGTCAGAAATATGATTAAACAATCAAACACCTCACAACAGATGTAATCAAACAGATTTCCCCACACTTTGTGTAACACACTTTAATTTACACGTTTAGACTGTCGCTATATCCAATCCATTTCTATTTTAAGAAGTCCTTGCGTTCAAACACTTGATTTGTTGTAGCAGTCTAACTTTGCAATAATGTGATTTTGATCCTATGCTTAACTGCATATTACCATGCTCTTGTTGAGTCTTTTTTAATTCTGTTTTTTAATAGTCGTGTTGGTTTTTATGTGAACACATTCCAAAGTATAGCTGGTCTGGCAGAAACGTTTCATAAAGAAATGAGCAAGGTATGTGATTATTTGACTTGATGTTTTAATTTCTAATGTTCCAAGAGCATAGGTTCTGTTGATTTGGCGATCTAAAGCTCCGCCTACGTTTTAACGTCCAATAAAGCTTGTTTTCCTATCGCCCTGCATTGCTGATCCAAAAATAATAAAAATAAATAAAATAAAACAATTTTTAAATTCTTGTACTTGCTTTCAAGTTCTTCCATGTCATTCCCCCTTTTATCTCTCTGAACTCCATCAGCCTCATAACACTCAAGTCTTCATTCAGTAATTCTCGCCTCTTGAACATCCCTAATTTTAATTGTTTCACTATTGGCAGCTGTGCCTTCAGTTGCCAAGGCTCTAAGCTATAGAATTCCCTTCCTACTACACCCCTCTGTCAAGATTCTCCTGTTTGATGAAGCTTTTGACCATCTGACTGATATCTCCTTGTGTCTTGATGTTTTATTTAAAATTGTCCCTAGGGTCTTTAAGAGTAGTCATATTAAAGGGGCTATGTTAAGTCTGACAGTTAGTTACGGCTTTTAGAAACCTAAACATGAACAAAATGTGACCAGTACTCACCAAGCTTCTAGCCTGGAGTTATTTTTGTCACCACCTCAAGTATTTTTTTAATATTTTCATTGTTCAATTGAGTCACCATGCGAGTATGATGGACTAGGTGTCGATGAAGTAGTGGCCTGTCGATTTCAAGCTTGGATTTTTAAAATGCTGTCTAATTATTGAAGGGATGAAAGAACTGTTTGAGATTCTTAGAATCAAGTTTAGTTGTGTATTAAAGACTGATCATACAACAAGAATTGAGTAAAAAGCAAAAACATGCAAGGTTAGAGGGAAGGACAGGGGAGTGGGGTGAGTTAGGTTGGACTTTTTAACCGAGGTGTGATGGATAGAATGGACTGCTCCACATGCTATGAGTTCTAATATAGAATGTCCATTCTGTACTCTGAGGGCAGCGTTGAATCAGGCAATGAATGTGCAGTTTAAAAATTGGAGACCAGAATGTGAAATGTGCTTTCAATTGGTCATTGTTCTAAATAGATGTTTAAAAATGTATTTATTGGGTGAAACATTGTTAATGACATTTTAGTGATACAGGATTGGTCTGGTTGTTGGCATGAATAAAATGGTTAAGTAAGAGCAATTGATCCCAATAGTTGGCTTTTTGGTTTTGTTTGATTAATTTTAAATAGTGTTACCATTGCAAAGACTTGACAACCTGTATTCCTGAACATGATTGACAGTTGTCCAGTGAGTTGTCTGGCCTTAGTGTGTGGCATAACTCACTCGATTTTCTTGAACCCAACTTCCTCCACTGATCCTCCAACGTTAAGCTCATTGTAGCCACATCGCTGCAGGAAAGTGGAGAACGCAATGTGGTATTCTGAGATGTTCTGCTTTTGCTCAGATTGTCTGGTTGATGTGCCCTCGTTTCCACTCCAATCCTCCCCGAGAGGGCTGGTTTAAATTTGGTGTTCATTTCTGGTTCAGAGATGGGGCATTCAGCTCCATCACTCTGTGTGAGTAATAGTAAAAGTCAACATAATCCCATAGGGCTGCGGTGTCATTCGAGAGAGTCAACTGGTTTAATACTGAATCATCACACCTTAGACGAGGGAATAAACTGAGAAGGTGGGAATTTCAGTGACCTCAGCCAGTACAGATATTCAGCCATGCTGTTGGCGTCACACCAGCCACCTGATCTAACTGCTATAGTACTTTTCGCTGGACTTCATCTCTTCCCTGTCTAAACCTTTCTCCCTTGTGCTTATCTAGCTTCCCCATTAACTCATCCAAGTTGTTTGTCAACTACTGCAGGTAGTATGGAGTTCCATATTCCAATGACTCTTGTAGCAAAGAAGCATCGCTTGACTTCCATATTAGGCATATCATCAACTATCTCATGTCCTCAATATGATGTTCTCCATCCTGATGACTCATTCCTTTTTCTTTCTTCCTTCATAGCTGAACCAAAATCTTGGCTCCGTGATGAACCAACTGGAGATTCAATACGTGGACAGGTTTGTCTAGTCAAGGGTGCACCAAGAGTTGTTCGTAAAAGAAATTATTTGATTTGAGGATTTCCTTGAAATACTTTTACTTTGAATCTCGTGAAAATATTAATGATATGGTCACTTGCCTCTTTTGCAAAATTTGCCTTTGGATTTGATTCCTGGTCTGTACAGAGGTAGCTGGCCATCTCTGAAGTGCAAGTGTTTTGCATAAGGAATGCTGTTGCCAATCCCACTGACAATGAAAAACAGTAGACTTGTATTTTCATAATATCTTTCAGGGCACTTTACAGTCAGTAAAGTATTCTTGAAATGTAGGAAACATGGCACTCAAATTGTGTATATTAATCTCCCACACAGCAATGTGGTGATGACCAAATGGTCCGTTTTTTTGTGATGTTGGCATGAGGCATAAATTCTGGCTGGGACACCAATGCAAAACTGCCCTGCTCTCTGAAATGATGTAGTGACCACTTTATTTCTACAGGCAGGGCTGCCCTTTCCCATTTTTCACCTGGAAGACTGGCTTTAAACTGTTTTACGAATATCATAGTAATATAGCTCCTACTTACCATTTTGATGTTGCATTGTGGTTTGATGTAGGCCCCTAAAGCTGGTGACCAGATAGGAGTGTCTGCTGCCACTTGGCAATTTTTATTGTCACTTTGAGGGGTATTAGGGGAAAATAAATTCATACCTAGCAGCTGGCGCTCTCCTGCCTGTGACTGCACAGGAAAACCTGACAGCACGGAATCCTAGTCATAAAATATTATTGTCTCTGGCATTACCGGAAACCTCTGCGTAGACTGTTGCTATTTGTTAATTGTAGTTAATTGTGAATAAATGACTTAAAAACTACATCTTACTGAGCTGTAAGGAAGCTTTGCTTCATAGTCATGAGGCACTGAAACAGACTATTTGGTCAGTATCGAGAAAAATTCTATACTCGGGTATCTGTAATCCATACTCCTGTTCCTGATTTTCTTTTAAACTTGAATACCAGAATGTTGTAGGTATTAATTTCAAAACACACTTTCTGTCCTGGCTGATTTGGATGGTTGTAAATGCTTCACGATTTTGTTTGGAAGAGGCTAATTGAAAAAGATCAAACTTTAAATCCAGTTTATAGTACAACTAAACTATTAAGCTCTGCTTACAATGGCATTACAGAATAACCTAAGGAAGTGACAGCTAGATGTTGAAGACAAGTAGAAGATGGTTCCTGACCAAGGATGTAGGGCCAGAGATTGTTTTCAGGAGGCTTATGGAGTTTAACTTCAAATTGCCGAATGAATGTTCACAGGCCTGCTGTAGAGTAAAAGTGGAGAGTGTCAATGATTTTAAAAGAAAGTTGGTTTTATTTGTTCACGATTGTGGGTATTGCTAACTAGGCCAGACTTTATTGTCCATGTCTGATTACCCTTGCGGTTGAAAGCAAGCTACTGCCTTGAATTGTTGCAGTTTTAGGTGCGTATGTGCACACACGTGCTGATGAGGAATGAGTTCTGTGATTCTGACCCATCAACAGTGAAGAAAGCCAGTGCTGTGTTTATAAGATGGTGGTGTGTGGCTTGGAGAGAACTTGAAGGTGGTGGTGCTTCTGTGCGTTTGCTGCCTTTGGTTTTCTGTGCAGTCATGGATTTGGAAGGTGCTGTCTTCAGAACCTTGGTGAATTACTGTAATGCATAAGTAGATGTACTGCTGGTGCAGTGGTTGAGAAGGCTAGCATTGAAAGTGATGAATGAGGATGGCAAGCTATTAGATTGTTTTGCACAGGATGGCGCTGAGCATAGAGTGCCATACGCCGCACTTTGTGCTTTGTAGGTGATGGGCATTAGTGGGAGTACAGCAGGTGAGATTGGCTGGGCACTTGAGGGAAGTAAATCAGGAACAAAAACGGAAGTTGCTGGAAAGGCTCAGCAGGGCTGGCAGCATCTGTGAAGAAAAAAAATCAAAGTTAATGCTTCGGGTCTGGTGAGCCTTCCTCAGAACTGAGCTTTTCCAGCAATTTCTGTTTTTGTTCCTGATTTACAGCATCTGCTGTTCTTTCAGTTTTTACTTGACGAAAGTAGACTTGCTGAGCTCTCGAGTTTGAGCAGTTAATTGAATTGCTGTACAAAAAGTTGGTATAGACTTGATCGGCCAAATAGTCCACTACTGTGCTGTCATGAGAAATGTCTGTTGAACCCTTTCTCCATTTGAATGCTTTAGAACTATTGTGCCAAATTACCCCGATTGCACCTTGCAGATATGAAGCCTGCCATGCTTGCACTGTCTACAGTTTGAATTTAATTGCTTTCTCTGTCAGGAAACAATACATCTATAAAATTTGGGGGGGAAGAAACAGCACTGCAGATGCTAGAAATTGGAAATATGAAATTTCTGGAGGATCTTGGGTCTGTTAGCATCTGTGGAGAGAGAGAAACAAAGTTAACATTAGTCTTGTGACTCTGTCACAACTGGATAGTAGTTAGAAAAAGATGGTGTATACATTGCTGAAGTTGGGGTGGGAAAGGAGTAAATAGGAGATGGAGCCCAGAGAGGGGAGAGACAGGCAGACAAAGGGATATTTAATGGTAGGCCAGGGAGAGAGATGAAGTGATAATAAGGACCGTAAGGTGAAAATGGGTTGGCTGTGTGCATTTGTCTGCCTCACTTGGTTTCCTGTCCCTCTGGGCTCTGTCTCCACTGTGCACTCCTTCTCCAATTGTTGCCCCCACCCCAGTCTTCAGCATATATACCTACATTTTCCTACCTACTATCAGTTCTGAAGAAGGGTCTGAAATGTTAACTCTGCTTTCTCTCCACAGATGCTGCCAGACCTGCTGAGTCTTAGCAGCAATTTCTGATTTTTGTATCATCTATGATATGTTTGGTGTGATGGACTTGCATATTTTAGTGTTCCCTCTGCACATATAGGTACACTTTTTTGATTTTATCAATTTGCTTTAAATTATTTTGGTTGTACAGAGGACTGCACTGTTCATGAGGAATTGACTCTGTCTTTTCAAAGATCTTTTGAGGGCAAATTAAAGAATTTGAATCGGTCTGGCTGCCAGTTGATCGGTGTCTTTGCTGAGAACAGTCTGGATGGAAACTTTCATAACCATCATCCTTAACCATCAACCATTAACCTTAAAGAAACAAACGTACTTCAGCTGACCTGCACTTGCACGATGTGGTTTTACACTCCTGCCCTTGCATGTGTCTTCTGATGCTCATCGTAATGAGAGATTTACTTACGGTTGGAAATTTTTTTTTAACTCTGTGACATGCTGACTCATTTAACAATTGCGGCTCATTATAATGAATGGTAGCTGTTGTAACATGTTACACATGGTTGCTGTCAGGATTACTTCAGAGTATTGTAAAAAAGATTATGTCACTCTACTTTAATGTGCCAGAGATCTATAGCTCAAAGCTCATGTGTTTATGATTTTCTTTGAGCCAGAATCTTTTAGAACGTTTTTTTTCTCATTGCTGGACAATCGAAATTTTATTTATAACCAAACCCTCCACAGGAAGTTGAACAGCACATACTAGTTATTGGATAACTTAGTCACATTCTTGTTGATGTCTGAAGTGCAGCTACCCAATGCTCGATTGCTTATTAGTTAGTGAAGTGTGGAGGAAATTATTTTGGTTCTACAAAGTACCGCATGATTTCAAGATATTGCTTGTGTTAACAAGGCAATCCAGTGGAAAAGAAACACAGACAAAAACAAAACTCAATAAAAACCGAAAGAACTGCAGATGCTGTAAATCAGGAACAAAAACAGAAGTTGCTGGAAAAGCTCAGCAGGTCAGGCAGCATCTGTGAAGAGACAATCGGAGTTAATGTTTTGGGTCTAGTGACCCTTCCTCAGTTATCGGACCTGAAACATTAACTCTGATTTTCTCTTCACAGATGCTGCCAGACCTTCTGAGCTTGTCCAGCAACTTGGGTTTTCTTTTTCAAAAACAGATCCTTGTTACAATTCAATTGAGTAAAGTACATCAGTAATAGAACCTCACTATTTCACAAGCTGTTCCAAATGTGTAATTATTTAATTAAACTGAAGATGGTCAATTAATTTACTTGCCCGACTGCTACTCTGGGACAAAATTCACACTGGGTTTTGTCATTAATGAGAAAGTAACTGAGTTTATTTTAAGCAAACTTATTCTTAATCAAATGGCAAATAAGAAATGGATTGTTTCTTACATACAACTTAAGTTAATACCCTTTTTAAAATCCAAAATGTGGGCTTACATTCACAAATAAAACAGACAAAAGCAAAGTTTGACACAAGTGTTCTGGGCAATGTTCTGTAGGCTATTTATAGGTGTGCAGCCGCTTGAATATTCCGTACATGGCCATCAGCTTTGGCATGCTGCTCATGGCATTGATTTCTGGTCCAGAAGCTTGGCATGGGCCTTGGCCCACAAAGCCATTAGGAAAATTAGAAGGAAATCTGGTTATGGATAGAAACCTATAGAGAAGGGAGATTTAAAGAACAAATTCTGTTGTTAGAATCCAGACCACGAGGTGTGATGAGTTTTTTATCTCTGTTCTTTTGGCTTATTTTTGCAATTATGACACTGTTGCCTGCAGAGCAGATGTCCGATTCAATAGCTGATTGGGCAAACCCAAGTCTGCTCTATTTCAGCATCCCATTTTGTCTTTTTTATTCAGACGGTGGCAGGTGTTTCTTGTTAGCAGACTTTTAGACGTCCGAGTGCAATGCATCTCGGGTCTCTGACAAATTACAGCTGGACCAATTCTAAGGCTGTAGTCATGCAGTTTTTTTTCTCAATTCAAAGACTCATGGTGTCATGCTTTTGCAAAATATGCTCCTCCTTTGAAAAGTAACAACTTGTGCACCTAAAGTGCATGCAAAGTAATACCACTTGATCTTCAAGTTACAAAAACTCTCCTGGTGCTTTTAGCTGTACAGCAGTCCAACATTTTTCCAATTGTAGTACAAAAAATGTGTGGTCCCTTGAATGCTGAAAATTGAATAGAGAACAGGAAAGCCTGAGGGTTGC